ATGGAAAAGATGAGGCTGGAGAGTGGATATGAACCTAATACTGTTACCTATAATTGCTTGATAGATGGTTTCTGCAAAGCAGGCGAGATTGAGAGGTCATACGAGCTTTTTGACCAGATGAAAAAGTGCGGGGTTGTGCCAAATGTGATTACTCTGAATACTTTGCTTGATGGAATGTGCAAGCATGGGAGAGTTAACAGTGGTATAGAGCTTTTTGCTGAGATGCAAGGGAAAGGTGTAAAGGGGAATGCGATCACTTACACCATCCTCATTACTTCCTTTTGTAGTGTCAACAATATTGACAAAGCAATGAAGTTATTTAATGAAATGTCAGAAAATGGGTGCTTCCCTGATGCCAAAGTGTACTACAGTTTGATTTTGGGCCTTTGCCAGGCTCGAAGAACGAATGATGCTTCCTGTGTCGCTTCAAAGGCGAAAGAAGCTGGGTTTGGGTTGGACATTATCTGCTATAATGCTCTGATTGGGGGATTTTGCAGGAAAAATAAGATTGATGAAGCTCATAATATGCTTAGAGACATGGAGGAGGCAGGTATCAAACCTGATCGCTACACGTACAACACTTTGATATCATATTTCAGCCAGAAGGAGCAATTTGCAACTGCCCATAGAGTTATGAAGAGGATGATTGATGATGGTTATTTGCCTAATGTTGTTACATATGGAGCACTAATTCATGCATATTGTTTATCTGGAAATGTTGATGAAGCTATGAAAATATTCCAGAATATGAGTTCTTCTACAAATGTGCCACCAAACACTGTCATATACAATACTTTGATCGACGCTCTCTGCAAGAGTGACAAAGTAGAAGCTGGTATTTCTTTGTTGGGTGATATGAAGGACAAAGGGGTAAGACCAAATACCATCACATACAATGCCATCTTTAAAGGCCTTCAGGAGAGAAATTGGGTGGAAAAGGCATTTGAAATAATGGACCAAATGACTGAAAATGCATGTAATCCTGACTACATTACCATGGAAGTCCTAACCCAATGGCTTTCTGCCATTGGTGAAACAGAAAAATTGCGAAGCTTTCTGGAAGGATATGAGGTTTCTACTTCAACTGCCTAATACTAACTGGAGTGGAGGATATCCTTCCTAGTTCCGCTGTGATATTCACTGGGTATGGTGGAGATTCTTTTGCAGTCAGTTGAGGTCCCATTTGGATACCTTTCTCAGCCTTTCGGCTAAGATCAAGTGGAATGTGCGAGGTCCCATTTGATCTTTAAGCTCTGTGCTGTCATTTGAGATACCTGCTTTGATGCATAAGTTGTTCAGTAGGTACACAAATCATGTTCTATGAAGACATCTCCATCCATCTTGCCCTTCTGATGAACTGAAAATCATTCCAACATGACAAAATGATGTTACAAGTTTGGTGGGCGTGCTACGCCAAGAATTTTTGTATTTTCACATTTCATCCAAGTTGTAGTTGGTTTAATGCAAGATGAAGTTTATGTATGCTTATACTGTGTCAAGTTTGTTCTGAGCTTAATATTTTGGCTTTGGACGTATCTCAATGCTATTCCTCTTTCCTTTTTATGAGCTTACCATTGTCAGTGTTTTTGTGGAATTGTCTGTGAATGCATCAAAATGAAAAGCATAGGTAAATTAAGGTGCAAGCAGTGAAACATAAGGGATTAATTTGAGGCAAGTTTAGTTTAGTCAATATCTAACAGCATAGCCTTATGCGACTGCACAACTGGAATTTGCTGCTTAAACAGTACTTATCAAATTTCTTATGCAATGTAGTCGATGCCCATCCATAAACCTCTTTATGTGCTTTTGCAGACAGATAGCCAGACATACACACACACACACACACACACACACATATATATATATATATATATATATATATATATATATATATAATGGACTTAATTTCAATCAACTACTCCTTAGCAGAACATACAAAGATCTATTTTAGTCCCACTATATTTGTTGCTTTTTACAAAATGAGTTAAATTCAGTTTTCACGTTACTTTCGAGCTGGTCCTGATTCTCTTAATTACTTGAGATAAACTTTTGTTTGAAATTCAAATGCAGAGGCATTGATCATGCAGTGGCTAACAACGAGGTCCCCTTAAGATCACATGAGCTACCATCATTGTTGAAACAGGTAAGATAAACCAAGATGCAAATGGAGTAATGAGCTTCTTAAATTTATAATGAACATTGAAACGGCAGACATTTTTCACATTCTCAGGATGCTTCCTTTCGAAGCTGCATTTGTGTCTTAACTCTAGTTTGCTTAATGTTTGTAAGCTATCATTCATAATCTAATGTAAGTAGATAAAAGCTGAAAATCAAATTCGATGCTGTAGTCAGTTCACAGTGTAAGTGCAGCATCTTGATACATCCACTGTAGAATATGTTGAATATTTTTTGAATCTAATGGGAGTGTGTTCTGGAGATTTATCATCTGTTTTCATGTGCCCCAAGGTGTACAAGTATAGGAATGATTTTTCCCTCCAAGACGCTTCTATGGTGTTACTGATGTCTGTCAAGGTATACCAAATCTTTCATGTTTCCTCATAAAATTTGTCATATTAGTTTCCGATATGGAAACCTCAAGTGGTAGCAACTAAACTTCTAATTCCAGCTTGTACTCAGTTCTACTTGCACATCCCAGAACTTGTATGCAGTTTATACTTTTGATACCATTTATTCTCTTTTACTGCAGGATTTTACTGTATTTCTTCCCGAATATTATGGCTCGCTTTGCATTGTTATAATGTTGTGGTCATTGATATACAAGTGCTGTATGTGCAAGTTCTGTGCTTTTTCTACACCTTGTATATGAGGTGCTGACTAAAATGTTGCCAGAACTTTTACTTGTGCTGGACCCACCATTAATTTCACCATCATACTCACATCTTCTTAACCTCTTCTGCTGCAGCGGACCCCTAGTTCTCACCGATAATAAGCAAGCAAGTAGCAAACAGTCTAAAACACAAACCGACTACATCTTATTGTTGCTTACAGGCTTGCATGATATCAGTATTCCAATGCTGCAATTACAGATGCGTTGGTAAAGCTATTAAGAATCCCCTTTCCTAATTGTTGTAAATGTCCTCTTGGCTATTTTCTTTATCAGAGGGAATACCATATCCTGAAAATGAGATAACCACAAATTAGGAAATTTATGACATAACTGGTATAGTAGCCAAAGTAACCTTTCTAGAAGCACATAGATTTCTTTATATTGAAAGGGAGGTATTTTGAAAATTAAAAGCCAGAAGTCTTATGTCCGGGTTAGAGAAAATTTGACTTTCAGAAAATCTGTGTAGATTAAATAGCAACTTGTTAGTGTATTGAATAGTAAACAGTCGCCCACAGCAGGCATCTAAAATTTATTTGCTATTTGTTTGGGTGGACAGCAAAGAATTTGATCTGTTGTGAAAAAGAAAAAAAAAGAACACCCCTATGAAGATGCTTACTGGTGCTACTCCATTCTTAAATCTACGAAAATAATTTTGATTGTATTAGCGCAAATAGAAACATATAGTTACTCAGGTGATTATTGATTTAGATGGTTATAAAGCCCAATCAAACAAAAAAACAAAATCAAATTTAGTATCCTTTACAGAAGATGAGTTCTGAAACATCTACTATGATATATGGACGGGGAGCTAGGTTGGGTAAGGGAGAAAAAGGACAGGATAATTTTTCTGGTAGTTTACTAGAAGTAAGGAACACTGCTTAGTTAGAGGGTTTGAAATAGAATTGTTCTTGACTTCTAAGAGATCTACAGACCCTTTATAACACTCCTCTCACATGATAAATCATATAAAAGTGCAAATATGCTTCTCTCTAAATACTGAGTTCTTTTGTGAACAATACTGAGCTCTTTTGTGAACCAAAGAAGAGATAAGTGGTGGTTTAAATTGTTTCCAACATTCTGAAGAAATCTATTTATCATGTTCATTTCCATCCGGAATGTTGCAAAGCTGGTTACTCTTGTACTTAGTTTTGACTAAATGGATTTGTTGCATCTGTGTCCTGATCAGAGTGCCTGCAAGATTGGGTGGTTTCAGAATGAGGATACGAATGATCTGCTTAAACTTATCCAGGAGGTAAGTGAAACCTTTCATGTTGGTCCTGCTCTTTGGTTTTCAATGACTTCGTATCGTGTGACGTTCGATCTTATTTTTGGGATCCTGCTCAGGTTAGCAGATACTTCTCCAGTGCTGAAGATATTGGTGTTGACCCCAGCTACGTCCACCCTTATGTTTCAAAAGTATTAAGAAGGTCTGTACTCTTAGCTAGCGTTTGGCCATAGATTCCAAATTTGTTTTGAAAAATCTGATTAGGGTGAAGTTTGGTTTGAAGATGAAAATGTGTTTGGACATACGTTTTCAAAACATATTCCCCAACTTTATTTTGGAAAAACATGTATATAATTCCCAAGTTTTGGGATTTTGGCCCAAAATCAGCAATTGGGGTGATTTTGGGATTTGAGATTTGAGATTTGGTATTTTGCCAAAATGTGGTCAAAATTTATGGCCAAACATGAGTTTTGAAAATAAATTCCAACTTTATTTTAGCAAAACTCATGGCCAAACAGGCCTTTAATGTGTTAGCCATGTCATTACTAACTGCGCCTCTATTTTCAACAGTTCCCTTAATACACTAGAAGATTTAGAAGGATATGATATGACATCTCGAGCCATAGTAGTTGGTACTGCTAATTTGACAATTAAACTTTTGTTCTTCTGATTGGCCATTCTTTTCTTTTTCTTGACATAACATGATTTCGTCTTTTTTTGTTAGCAATCAAACTGCTTTTACTAAAGCCAGTTACTCCTTATTGTATTACTCATGTGTCATGTCCTAGAAATTAACTCGGTCAGTTCATCCTTTTTTTTTGGTCAATGCATGGAGCTCACACTTCTATTTCCCTCACCAACACCATCCAATCTCCGCAGTCACTTTCACTTTAGAATAATGTCGAAGCCTCTTTGCAAATGCAGATTCTGTTCAAAGCTAAAGATGGACGGGATGGTCGCTGCTTTTCAAATCAAGGTAGGTTACTTTGTCTACTAAATGATCTTGCTACAATTTGAAATTTTGGTGGTCTTAATGGTTATTTTTGTGTAGCCTGGATTTGGAGCTTTTCATGCTGACTTCCACATTATAAGGGGAATGGTCACTCCAGGGAAGGACGAAATAGTGAGTGCCTTTAATCCTTTGAGGTGTAAAAGCAAGCTGGTTCAGCTAAAGCATGTTGCTTATAGTTGAATAAGAATTTAGTTTTCTATTACTAATATCTTTTCTATTCTGAAACTGTTGCGGTTCTCTCATATACGTTTTTGCAATTTCCATTCCTGACTGTTTAAACTGGTTTTCTTGTTGTTGTTGTCCATTTCTGACTGACCTGGTTTTGTGTCCAACTAGTCCAAGCATCGCTTCGTATTTTCTGGCTTCACTAGTGGGGGAATTCCAAAATATGAATCTAGAGTACTGTTGCAGTTCTTTTGCTTCTTGTCATTGCTACCTTCGCTACTGTCCTGTTCTAATTAAATAACCCTAGTCATCCAGTAGCAACTACCATGAGCAGTCAGGATAAAAGAAGTTAGGTCTTTATTTTTGTACTTTCACTGCTTTAAATATACTTACATCATACTGTTCGAGCTCTTACATAATATTACTATTTTTTTCCATGTTCCAATCTTATTGTCTAAATTTCATGCAGTCTTGTAACAAACGTTGACAACATGGAGGCAGCATCCTGCATCATTGCTCCACCAGAAACAACGTATAACCTACTTTACTTTATTCTACTTTGTCAGCTTAAACTCCTTTATTCTACTTTGTCAGCTAAAAATCTAATCCTCCATTCTTCCTTTGATGCCCGGGCCTAATTCTCAGCTCTTCTTGAGTGTAGCTTTCTTTTAAATGGAAAACGGCTGGAGGAGACGACTAAGGTGTCCATAGTCTGTTACTCTCACCAACTAATTTCTCTCTCTGAATGATTTTTTGCTATCAATTTTTCGAGTTGATCAATTAGTGTAACTGCACAACTCATTCAATCTCCATTATCCTGAAATTTTGCAGGACAGTATGCAGCAGCTTCCCGCCAACATCACTAAAATGCTCAAATATGGTGTGAATGTTCTACAAGTCGTTGGACAATTTAATGGTACCCAAACATTTTCCCTACTGACTTCATTTTTCATGATGAATGTTCTTATCTATTATTCTATACTTTGGAGAAAAACTTTTACAGGTCATTATATTGCTGTATTGGCATAATGTGCTTACTACCATCTTTAGAGTCTCATGGGATAAAAGATTATGATAGACCTCTTCCTTTAGCTTGTTCAGGTAAACCCAAATTAAAAGAAACAACAACGGTGCACTTGTGTTTTAGTCTGTTTAGGTGAACATATTTGATAGTTTGTGTAAGGAGATGTTTTGTATAACTTGAATAGTTATTTGCTCCTACTTCATCGCAGATCTGGAAATTGTTGAGAACTCATCAAGAATCTCGCTTAACTGGCCCATCAGGTAAATTATCATATGACACAAAAAATTTCTTAGTTCAAGTCTTGGCTTTTCTACTCTTTTTTATATTTATGGATACATGTTTGAATATGAAAATGCCATGTAGCACGCACACTATATTTATCTCCTAATTTTCCCTAGCAGATGATGCTCACCTGGAGTTAAACGCAGTCCTCTTGCTACTATTTTCTGGACCCAGTCCCACTAATCTGAATTAATTATATGGCTAGAATTTTTTGAGTTTTTTTCCTCTGGTGGTCGCTTGCTGAATGCTGACAGTTGTGTCTACTTACGAACTCAATATCAGCCTGGGAAAAGTTGCGTATTTTCTCCAGCTAGTCTTAATTTAAAAGAGTCTCTTGGATTATATTTGTTGCTAATATACGTACTTACGTTACGTAGTCACATACACATACAAACCGAGACAAACTCTCATGCGCATGGAGTGTCACTTTTCCTTTAGTCCATCCAAAGATAAATGACGAATCATTTAATAACTAGACTTTCATCACTGATCTAAAATCAAGTTTGCTAGCTGGTTTACTTGCATATTGGTGATGATAATTGTTTGAGCGTGCATTTGGCGTCTGCAAGCCTGAGTGTTTCCTGAGGTTTACTTGAGCTCCTTTTTGAGACTAGCGGGACGTACAATTATAATGCTACCAATTATTAGTGATTATTCTTTTTTGCATTTCTGTTAATAATGTAGTGCTTGATTGTCACTACTTGGAAATTCATGCAATGGAACCTATTTGGCAGTTCCTCACTGCATAAAACCAGGATGTCTTCAAGGACTAAGGATTTATCGAAATGTTGATAAGGTAACTCATGTTTTAGATCTCCTAGCAATTCTTGCCAGGTCTTGAATGAGGTAGGCGACGAGATTGTTCCTGGAGTCGCATCCACAAATGGATCCTGGAAACCAATTGTACAAGACAAAAGTGTCTCAAGCAGTGGCGGAGGCAGGATCTCCACGAAGGGGGTTCAAAAATATTTTTTGTAGCTAGTGGGAATCAAACCCATGACCTTATGTAAATTTTGAACCCCCTTAACCACTAAACTACACTTTTGGATTGTGTTAAGGGTGTTCAAAACTTAATATATAGAGGTAAAAAACAGATTTTGCCTTATATATGCAGTGTAATTTTTCGGCGAAGGGTGTTCAGGTGAACACCCTTGCGCCCCCGTAAATCCGCCCCTGGTCTCAAGTCAAACATACAGCAAAAGCCAATACATTGAGCAACTACGGCATGAAAGTAAATACAGCCTGAGCGCTGCAACATTGGATAAAATTCAAATGCCAAAGCCTAGGATACTTGTGCATGCTTCTGTTCCAGTTACATCAGTGAAAACAAATGCCCCGGCAGGCTACAGTCAACAACCTCGAAGAACCTTTCTGGCGCCATCTTGTCTTGCAACAACTGAAGAAAGCTCAGAAATGTGTTCTGCCCATGGTTAACCAGCTTAATGAACAAAGGATAGATAGCTTATTGGTACCAAGAACAAATTACTGGATTCCCTCCGGTACAACAAGGGAGGGGCAGCCTTAGTAGCAGACCCTATTCGGCTATATTCCAACAATTTATGTTACTACACTGTGTGATCGATAGTATCCTTTTCATTCTGCGTGCTGTTTTCACTGCTTTATTTAATATGAAGGTATTCACCTACAATAGATAAATTCCGTATAATTGTCTATCTAGAATCTATTTAGCTATTTTATTACTTCAACATTTTGTAAAAAAATCAACTATTGATAGAAATTTTTAATTTCTACTTCTAAAAATAAATATAAATTAGTTCACGATTTCAACTTCAACCGGTTAACTTGACTCGAAGAAAGATTGCTTGTCTAACTTTCATAGATCTAGTGGTTAGACATTTTACCTAAATGATTAATCAATTGAATTGATCCAAACCAAATGAGGGTTGGTGCGGGAAAGATAAGAACAGAGAAGGCCGAGGAAACGGAGGTTCCTAATTATTTAATGTGATCTGCGAAAAGAGATCATGAGATGTTTTAGAGTGTTCCAGTGACATTACTAATTGCCGAAGAAGGCTCGATGCTCGAAGATGAGATCCTTGATACCATCCTCTCTGTCACGGACGATGATGATAAAATGCATAAAAACCTTTCTGATATAGAAGTGACTTCTTGTCTTTCGCTAAGAGGACTGCACTTCTTAGACGAGATGAATACACATATACATGTCTTTTTCACTATGGTGTGTAACCATGAGTTGTAAGATTGGGAGGTGGAGACGGAAGGATAAGAACAAAGAAGGGAGTACTTTCTTGCATAAAGCATAGATGAGAAAAGGTCCAGAGATAGAATGAGGTAATCCTTGGGCAAGACATTCGAGACAAGCTCTTGAAAAATTCTAAAAGCCAACAACAATTCAACTACTTCTGTTCCACTGCATTTTTTGAAGGCAAAATGTTGTATATGTGGTTCTTGCCTTCTTGATTCTTTCAAACCGCATATAAACTACTGAAATTGACATTCAGCAACACTCACGGAAACCCAGAAATTCAGACAATCCAACAACTTCAGGGAGATTCCCCACGAGGCTCTCCACAAGGTTCTCCACGAGGCTCCCCACGACGGTCTCGTGAAGGCACTCCTGATGGATCTCACAGATGGACAGGCTCAATTCGAAAATGTTGAAACCATGAATGAGGCTCTGCAAAAACTTATTGCCTCTCAAGTCAATAACGCTCTTCAAGCTTTTGTTAGCCAATTACCTGTTGTTCCACCCACATCTACTCCAAACAACAACACTTTGGAGAATCCTCGTTCAGGATTGGTTAATTCAGGCAGCGGTGGAACCCGTAGTGAAACACAAGAGAGAGACCTAGGTAATACAATTAACTCTGATTTACAAAATCTAGTACTAACCTTGCAGAAACAGCTTAAGGAGCAAAATGAACGCATAGAGCAAATACCTGGAGTACCGCCCGTGATCAAGGGAGTGGATATAGATAAATATTCCCAACAACCATGGAAGCCAAGTGCTGCTCCCCTCCCAATTCCAAAGAAGTTTAAGATGCCTGATATTCCAAAGTATGATGGTACATCAGATCCACGAGATCACGTTACTGCATTCACAACAGGTGTCAAGGGCAATGATTTGACTAAGCAAGAAATTGAGTCGGTCTTGGTCAAAAAATTCGGTGAAACACTCACTAAAGGAGCCTTAACATGGTATTCTCTTTTACCCGAAAATTCTATAACTTCGTTTGCTGAGCTTGCAGATTTATTTATCAAAGCACACTCGGGAGCTCAAAAAGTTAAAAAGCGAATGGAAGATATCTTTAAAATCAAGCAAGGAGACTCAGAGTTACTTAGAGAGTTTGTAGATAGATTTCAACGGGAAAGAATGACGCTGCCACGAGTACCTGACAATTGGGCAGCCATAGCCTTTGCTAGTAATTTGAATGAGAAGAGTTCAGAAGCCACGAGGCGACTCAAAGAAAGCCTTCGAGAATTCCCAGCAACAACGTGGAATGATGTCTACAACAGATACAGTACAAAGATGAGGATTGAAGAAGACATTATTTTACGACATAAAACAGAAGAAAAGGTAAGCTCAAGGCGTGTGGAAAATGAAAAGAGATCCGGTAAAAACAGGTACGAACCATACATGGGACCTGCGGGAAAGGACTCACGATCAAGGCAAGATAATCAAAGGTACGATCACAAACCTAGGAACAGGGAATCAGGCTCCTCATCAAGGTTCGGGAATGATCGAAACACACGCGGGTCACGAGACGATGATGGAAGTCTAAAGGCAAGGTTCGGTGGTTACAACTTCAATGTAAGCACCTCTGAACTCGTGGCTGTTTTAAGGAGCATGGGAGATAAGGTACGATGGCCAAAGGAAATGCGATCAAATCCGAACAGACGAAACCCTGATCATTGGTGCGAATTTCATAACGATCATGGGCATAAAACAGCAGATTGCAGGTTTCTACAAGGTGAAGTTGATCATTTGTTAAAACAAGGGTATCTTACTGAGTTGTTCAGTGAGAAAGGTAAACAAGCATACATGAAGAACAGACAGGAGCCTCCAAAACCACCTTCGCCCAAGAGAACTGTCAACGTTATAAGTGGAGGTGAAGAGATCAATGATGTATCATATAAAAAGGTTTCAAAAGTGACTTGTACTGGAAGAGTAGAATGTTATATTCAACAACGCAGACGCCGAGGGACTCATAACTCCGCATAACGACGCACTGGTAATATCTTTACTTGTACATGATACTAACGTGAAACGAGTTTTGGTTGATCCAGGTAGTTCTGTAAACATTGTTTTAATACGGGTATTGCGCGAGATGCAAGCGGAGGATAAATTAATCCCAAAGGCACATACTTTGTCGGGATTTGATAACTCTAGTGTTGTAACAAAAGGGGAGGCATTACTTACCACATTCGCAGAAGGCGTCGTTAAAGATACCAAATTTCAAGTGGTAGATATGGAAATGGCTTACAATATGATTCTTGGGAGGCCATGGATTCATGACATGGAAGCTGTTCCTTCAACTTTACATCAAGTTATTAAATTCCCATCTCCATGGGGAATATGCCAAATCAGAGGCGATCAACAAACATCTAGAAGCATCAATTCCGTTGCAGATTCAACTGTTAAAGGTGAAGACAAATAGCAATTACAGAATTTAGGTGAGGGTAACACGGAAACAACCTCACCTGAGCAAAAGCAAACAGATCTGGATTCAAGGCCTGATACCATTCAAGAACCGGAGGAGAATGAGAACATTAAAACAACTATAGAAGAGCTAGAGGCCGTGGTGTTATTTATACATTGGCCCGAGAGAAAAGTGTACATAGGAGCTAATCTTAGCCCGGAGATAAAATGTAAATTGATTGAATTTTTAAAAGCTAACGCAGACTGTTTTGCTTGGTCCCATTCTGACATGACAGGGATACCACCGGAAGTCATGACTCATAAGTTGAATGAAGATCCATCATATCCTCCCGTCAAGCAAAAGAAAAGAAAGCAAGGAACTTTCAAAAATAAGGTGATTCAAGAGAAAGTTCAAAAGTTGCTAAAAATTGGTTCAATTCATGAGGTAAAATATCCTAACTGGTTAGCTAATACTGTTGTGGTTCCTAAGAAGAACGGTAAGTGGTGAGTTTGTGTAGATTACACAGACCTTAATAAAGCCTGTCCAAAAGATTCCTTTCCTTTACCGCACATAGACCAGTTAATTGATGCTACTGCAGGGCATGAGCTATTAAGTTTTTTAGATGCATATTCAGGCTATAATCAAATCAAGATGGATCCAGGTGATGAAGAAAAAACTTCTTTTATAACAGACAGGGGGACTTATTGTTACAAGGTAATGCCCTTCGGTCTTAAGAATGCAGGTGCAACGTATCAAAGGTTGGTCACTCAAATGTTTCAAGAACATTTAGGTAAAACCATGGAAGTATATATAGATGATATGCTAGTTAAAACTCAACATTCAGAAGATCATATATCGCACCTATCTGATACGTTTAAAATTTTACGAAAATATAATATGAAATTGAATCCAGAAAAATGTGCATTTGGTGTGGCATCAGGAAAATTTTTAAATTTTCTTATTTCTAACTGTGGTATTGAAGTGAATCCTGCACAGATTAAGGCCATTGAAGAAATTCCAGATATATTTTCCAACAAGAAATAGGTTCAAACACTAACAGGAAGAATCGCAGCTTTGGGAAGGTTCATTTCTAAATCATCGAAAAAATATTTTAAATTTTTCTCGGCTCTTAAGAAGCAGGATCATTTTGAATGGGATGAGGAGTGTCAACAAGCACTTAGAGATTTGAAAACATACTTGTCAAATCCACCTTTGCTAGCAAAACCCAAGGCTGGGGAGAAACTTTTCATCTACCTTGCTGTTTCAGAAGTTGTGGTAAGCGCGGTTTTGGTATGAGAAGAGCAGGGTAAACAATCTCCTATTTAGTATGTTAGTAAATCTTTGTTAGATGCAGAAACACGGTATCCACAATTGGAAAAATTAGCACTTGCTCTAATCATGGCATCTAGGAAGTTAAGACCTTATTTTCAATGTCATCCCATTGTTGTAGTGACTGCATACCCCTTACGTAATATATTGCATAAACATGAATTGTCAGGGAGGTTAGCTAAATGGGCCATAGAGCTAAGTGAATATGAAATCACGTACTTACCTAGAACAACAATAAAATCACAGATATTAGCTGATTTCGTCGCTGACTTTAGCCAAGGGATGCAATTAGAAGCAGAAAAAGAAGTACAAGTACTAAATGGGGCTAATCCAGGAACATGGACCTTATTTACTGATGGCTCATCTAATGTAAAAGGTGCAGGATTAGGAATTGTTTTAGTACCACCTACAGGTGAAACTATTAGGCAAGCCATTAAATGTCATTCCGTAACTAACAATGCAGCGGAGTATGAAGCTGTGATTGCAGGTTTAGAATTGGCACGAGAACTTGGTATAAATCAAGTAGTGATCAAAAGTGACTCGCAGCTCGTGGTTAATCAAATGCTGGGGACTTACACAGCTAGGGAAGCAAGGATGCAACGGTACTTGGAAAAGGTACGGGAACTGATAAGGCAATTCCAAACTTGGAAGGTCATACAGATATCGAGGGATGAAAATGTTGAAGCAGATGCCTTAGCTAATCTCGCATCCGCAG